CTTATAAAGTGGCTGAGCGGGCAGCCCCTATTTATGATTTCGAAAGCTGATGCTGAATCTGAATTTGAATTTGATGAAGATTCAAATTTGGAATTTGGTCTACGAATATCGAATACAGAAGAAATGCCATCAATCGGATACTGTTTCTAGTGGGAAATGGATGTCCAATGTGAATATTACTACGGCATCAGCATCAACGTTAGTCAAACGAGATATAGGGTATGGAACTATGTATTAGGTGTATAAAAAAAGTACGATAAATTGAGAAATTACCGCCTGCGGCATCTGTCGAGCGTGTTATCAGGGGAGTAGAGGAAAAGTTCCATTAATATTACACTATCTGTTGGTTTTAAGCGGTTTGCGGCGACGCTTTATGAATTGCGATTCGGAGTTGCAAGTTGCAAGTTGCAAGAGTTGTGTATGAGTAAAATTATGGCATAGGTATCAGGTATATCATAAGTATCATAATCATAAAAGAAGTTGAATAAGTAGAAAAGGTAGCTGATGAGCCGGTTGAGAGATTGCTGGGGATGTTAGGGGGCGCCTGAGCATTCTCGGAGGAGCTGCAGGACTGGCCAGAAGGCCAGTCCTTCTTTTGGGTTATTTAAGGTTTCGAATTTCCAATTTACCAAGCTGGTCGGGGGCACGGATTCGGGGTCATGAGTGCACGAGGATCGGGCTGGGACGAGGGCGTGGCATTCTCGAATGTATACGTTATGTAAGTATGAGTGGTAAATAAAAAGCGGAAAGACAGACGCGGCTGGGTTGGTAGTCAGGAAGAAATTGTAATAGAAGAAATTGAATTGTGTTGCTTGTGTATGCTTTTTATCGGTGCGATGGCAGCTGCTGTGTTTGGCTTTTGTTGCTGTTGCTTGCTTCGTGGTGTTTTTGTACTCGTGTTCATGTATTTTCTGCTGGCAGTGTCTGTCTTTGCAAGGGTGCTAAAGTGAGCTGGGACGGTCAGGATGGGCTCTGGGAAATAGGACCGGAGCGGAGGAGCTGTGGGACCGGAGGAGCTGTGGAGCAGAGTGTGGGCAGCCGAAGTGTTCCACAGATTACTGTGCACTTGGGAGTCGTTTGTGTGTTGTGTTCCGTGTTCGGTGTGTGTGTGTGTGTTTGTCAAGCTTTTGTGTTTCGTGTGTGTTTTACAATGAGGTAAAGTTCGGCTGTGAAGGCATTGGACAAATGAGCAAATATATTTATTCTGTTTTACTTCCAGCGGGTATCTAGGAAAGGACTTTCTTTTGGAGGGATTAATGTCGTATGATCTGTGTGTACTTAGATTACGAAATATATATTACGATAACTGTATAGATATAAGTAGTTATTGGATGTTTGATTCAGGAACTCCGGAATTGAAAGGTTAAATAAAATCAAAGCTTCTTGCTTTTAAAAGCATTCTCTTTTTAAACATTGTTAATTTCATTTAAAAAACAAATATATTAAGATCAAGAATTTGGTTGAGGTTTAGAAATTATACCTTCTTGAATATAAATTTAAATACTTCGAAAGGTAGAGTTTATTCAATCGATAAAAATCGAAATCTAAGATAAATCTTGTTATAAAATGATTTTCATTACATCCCTGATTTATTAACAAATAATAATTAAATATCATCATTCTAAATTTGATATCTTTGCAGGTTCATGTGGAATGTGAAGGATATATTATAGCACTCGCAAAATTTCGAGGCTCAACAAAATCGAAGCCTTATTGGTGTAATTAAAATATTTGAGTGTGCAAGGCTAAGCGTAAGTCAAGTTATTTTAACAAAATACATTTTATATTACCTTGTCGAAGCTCAATCTTGAACGGTCTATGGACTAACTATTTAAAATTTAAATCAACTTTCATGCTTTTTGCCAATCAACAAGTCCTGGGTCACCATCAAACCGAAACTAAAGCAGTGAACGTTAAACTAAACAGGAAGTGCCATAAGAACAATGCTTCGCTCTAATAATATTACATTCTTGTATACTTGAATAAGGATTAGATCTCTATTATGTAAGGATGTATGTGGAAGAGTGGTTGTGGGATGATATCGACTTACGCACTTTCATAGTTATAAGGCATTCAGAAGTATTTTCACGAACGCTACCTGTAAAGAAAGATAAGTAATATAATAGTTCATTTAGATATACGTATAGTTAAAAGTAACAAATTATACTAGCATATGGCTAGATTAACTCGACTGGTGAGGGGCTCTCACCCCCATGAGGTACATAAAACAATAGTTATGCAACACTCGGGCAATACTTTATCTCTAAGCTTCTAACCCTTTGTCTGCCCTGGTCATTTCGCACTGTCTCCGCTCTGTGAGGCAACAAGCAGATACAAGAAATCCATAAGTTATCCTTAAGTAAGACAGGCAATAGTAATAACGCTAATGCAAGCTTAAATAAATTGTCTGATTGCGAGCGCATGGTTGACACTGGAAACGCATTTACTGCCACCCACTGAACCAGTAGTCAGTCACCCATCTCCTTCTGGAGGAAGGAGCCACAAAACATATATTTTCAATGGAATGCTCTACAATTGGCATGTGAAGCTGCGGAAAATAAAGGAAACTTAGCTCAGGACTCAGAAATGGCTGAGCAATTGCTGTGCGTGGCGTAAGCATCCCCGACAATAGCTTTTATGGCGATATTTTATTTCGCCTCCATCACTCAGGCGAATTTTTATGGTGAACTTTAAGTGGCTGGCTTGCTGCATCATGAGCGCCGAAAGTAGCCGCCAGGGGTCCGACAATTGTTCCATAAGGATACAAAAACAAGAAGGACCATAGAATACATTGCTGCTAATAAATTCACATGCACTTAGCACTAAAATATATATTGTAGCAAGCGAAGGGAAGTATTTTTCGACTCTAATTGGTGTTTTGTGCAGAATTTTTATGTTTATACCTTGAGAGGATCGAATTGGAGTCCATAATGGTATCATCTGAGAGAGTATTACTGAACTAGGTACTTATATGTCAGAATCGAAATAAAATGGATGTGTACATACAAATTCTATCCTTTCCTTATATACATACATATATCACCCACAGTTCCCAAGCTTGGTAGATTCTTTCGACTGTTGATTCAACGTCAGTAACTATTAGGAGTGAGTGATAAAAGTATCTGAGCCTTGGCATCTTGGTCCTGGCCGCAAATTGGTGTGTATATAAGGACACACGCAACTACATCTGTGTGATTTGATTTGGTTTTTCGAATTTTATGCCCATGCTAATAGCGTTTTCATGTTCCACGAACGTGGCAAGCCCACGTCACTGCCAGACTTGACAGCCTAATGGCCATGGCCGACCGTACCAACCGCAATCTCGAATTGAACCGCAGCTGGCAGTCTGACAAACAGGGCGCATATGGTGGCAGGCTGCGGAATGATTGAGTTGCCCCCACTCACTGCCTCACTGGGTCCTGGTTAGTGGATCCTGGGCCGGAGTCGGAGTCGGGAGTCTGTGGAAAATTCAACATCAATCTGCACAATTAAGTGTATCAAATTGCTGGAGCCACTTCCCTGCGCATTCGTGCAGAATTTTTGCGTTCGATAAGAGAACTTGGTAATGGTGTCGAACTTGGCTCAGCTCGGCTGCAGCGAGCTTGCAAATTGAACGGGGCGCCTTGGAAAATATTTAGTGGCACATGGGATATAGCGGCAGCGATGGCTCCCTATGTAAATGCTTTTCCGCCCAGAAAGGCTCCGCATGTTGGCCGCTGATAAGCATTCCAACTTAAATATTCTCGCCCCCGGTCTATTCTCTCCTTTTTTAAAAGCATTCAATGATTTCCGAGCCATTGCACAGCCGCTGATTAAACAGCAGTAGCAGCAACAACAAAGGGCAACCAGTGACATTACCTAATGCGTTTGGAAGAAGGGGTGGACTTGGCACAACAGGGACAGGAACTGGCTTTGGCTCTGGGCCTGAGCCTGGGCCTTGGGTGGGGGTGTGTATCTATGTATGTGGAAGCGTTGGCCACTTTCATGTGTGGTAATTTTTTGCCGCTGCGCAGCATCTTGAATTATGTATACCCGTCGTCGTACCTATGTACGTTCGTACATATCGCAGTGTATTGATCGAGTGGCAAAAATAAATGCTCTCGGGGGTGAAGGTGAGGCTCTGTGTTCGACTTACCTTTAACGGCACTTAATTGGTTTCCAACCATTTGCTTGGCTATGAAGGCCGCCATCTTTGGGCTAGCGCTCTAGGGGCGAGGCTCCTGCTAGATGTCGGATGGGATGTGTGTGTTGTCCTCCGCTGGAGGATTGCGGCAATGCACTCGCGGTCCGCGCTGCTGGCCTTTACGTCCGAAAAGCTGTAAGCGACAAAGCAAAGAGAAAAGAGCAATTAATTTGTTGTGTGACACGGGACAAGGGAAAGGGAAAGGGAAAGGACCAAGGGACCAAAGGAGCTAGAGTAATGGCAAGCAGACCGCCGCCAAGCTGCCCTGTCACCTGGACCGCCTCCCTGATACTTTAAGCCGCTTAGCTTAAATGCCTTTGGCCGCACTCCTGCGACTCTCCCTCGACCGGTCAACTTTTCCCGTGAGCTGACATTTCTTTTGAAACGTTCGCGGGATTTGGAGGCAATTCCAGTGGCTACCGGACTTGCCCTGATGCTGAGCATAAGATTCCTTTCCACTTCATGATTCCGTCGGAGTCGGAGTCTCAGTTACAGCAACATCTTCATCAATGACAGCTGTGGTTGTGTATCCTCTCTGCCTCTCTGCCTCCATGCCCTCTGGTGGTGTACTTAATTCGGGGAAATCTAATATTTCTGGCCTGGTCCTCTTGCACAATAATGCCGTAATGAATGTGGGCGCCCTGTGCCTCCCAGCACCGAAATTTTCAATTTTATTAACGCCGCTGGCTGGGAAGCAGCAACAGCAGCAGCAGGACTACAACTACATCAGCGCCAGCATCAAAGTATCCTCTTGCTCCTGGCTGTGTCTGTTTCTTTGTAACCATGTATTAATATTTGCCCAAATTGGGCTAACGAACTTAAGCCGAGGCGGAAACTGGGTTTCTGGCTAGCTGCGCAAATTAAAACAACACCAGGCAAACGAGCAACGAAATTAGTTTGACATAAAAGCATTTGCCGAGCGGGCAGGACAGCAAAAAGGAAATGGAGGAGCGAGGGGCGACGGACGGACGGAGCTCTCCAAGTTTGTATTTTCCTGCTGGCCTCGCCTCGACTTAATTTCCCGTCCAAGCTAATGAATTAAGCTGATGCTGCAGACAATTTTCAGTCCCTCCATGGCGTCCTGGAGCTCTCAGGCTGAGTGACTGACTGACTGACAGCTAGACAGCCAGAAAACAGTTGAATCAGAATTGGTTATTGGCCAGAGAGCGTTTACAGTTTTGGGGAAATTAACTTTAATACCCGGGCCTGGCGGGGAAGCAGGGATCGGAGCGCTCTGTCAGCTCTTGGCCGAAACGGAAAGGGACAACCATGCCTCCTCCCCACCTGACTTAATATATGTAAATAGAAGCGAAAATTTATGGCATTCGTGCTTAGAATTTTATGGCCGTGGTGGCTTTAGGTGTGGCACCAACAAAAACAAGTCCCGCTTCCTATTCCTTCTTGTACAAATAAACAACCCAAGTTGGCCTCCAGACTGCCTGCCTGCTATCCAATTACGTTTGAAGTTTTCTAATACGGAAACAAGTATGAAAGCCAAAGCCAATAAACACGCAAATAAGCGGCATTCGACTCGAGTTGAATTTCCTTGACTGACCCCGTGCACCCCTTGTTCTCTTCTCTGAATAGGGTAAAAAAGGGTCACCGTGTATCAAGTATACGCAGTGTTATCCCAATACAAATGGCTTGGCAAAATATCAAGTATACGCCGCGTTGCCATTAACCTATTCTTGTAGCTTGGGAAAGTGGCCAGGTGCGTCCTCACGGGATTGAATAGACTCTCGGCTAAAGAATAAATCGGAATCTCGGATTTTTCCAAAGAAAACTCTAAGATTGCATAATGAGCTTGCAGCTTTCTGATTGCCGTCGAGTAATCTACGCGTGAAAGTGTACGAAAAAATGCGAAAAAGTTGGCACAAACATTTAACATAAAATGCGTAAAAGTTTGAAGCATACTTGGCGCATACTTCGGGACGGGACGAAGTGGGACCCTTTTCGGATAGGATACGATGGGACAGGTTGGGTTGCTTGGGGCCACTCACCTGGGCTTAGTTCAGCAAATATTCCGACAGATTGCCGCTGGAGATTCTTGTGTGACAGTGTGCTTGTTGTTGTTCTTGTTGTTGTTGAAGGAGTAAAGTTGTAAAATGGTTTTGGCGTTGAAGTGTTTGTTGTTGTTTTATTTTTTAAAGAAATCCGCAGAGAAGAGCGAGCATTAGACGGACTTGGTTTCTGAAAGCAGAGGCAAAGCAAGAGAGACACTAAAATGAAGGTTTATATCGACCGAAATTTCCCATTTTCCTAGTTTCCTGTTTCCCTGTCGATTCTAGGATATTTGGCTAGCCAGACCGACCGACAATCTAATTTAAAAATAGAGGACAAGCACACACACGCACACGCACACACACACAGGCAGGCTGGCCCTAGGGGCGCGTTGTTCCTGTTATTTGTTGTTTTCGTTGTCGCCGCTGTTATTGTGCTCTGTTGTCGCAGCGCTGACTTTGTTGCTTTTATCGATATTTCTTTATTAGGGTTTCTTTTATGCGAGCGTGCACGTAAGTGCCCATTATGCCTGTGGATAGGCTGTGGCGGAGGCAGTGGCGCTGGCAGTGGCAGTGGAGCGCGGGTGGCAGGGGTCGCGGGTCGCAAACAAACAACATTTTTACGTAACACGGGCAGCAAACAATTCCGATTGAATTTTTGAGTGCGCTGCAGCTTCTTATATTCCATATTTCGTTTATTCGATTCTTCTTTTTCTTTCGCTTGTTTTCCACCGATTACATAAAGCGGCGCTGGGCGCTCACACTCGGGCAACTGGCCGTGTAATTCAATTAGATCGATATAACGAATTGTTCGGTAATCAAATTAAACATTAACTTGGTTAGCCCGTGGGCCGATCTGCTGGCGTATTTGTTTATTCTGCTTTTTGTTCTTAGACTTGAGGGGGCCTACGTATACGTGATATGTGCCTAAAGCCTTTTATATACACACAGTAGTGACTCTGCTCTGCTCGACACTCGACTGCTTCGCTGTGCTGTGATGTGTACAAGTACAATGTGTGCGTGCGGGGTCTCTGTGTGTGTGTGTGCTTAGTACTTTTGGTTTTCACTTTGCACCTAGGCCGCCGTCGCTATGTTTTATTCGGCGCTTCTTACTTCATGCTATGTTCGCACTCTTCTGCATGCCACTGCCGAGTTCCCTACATGGAAAACTCGGCGCCTCGGCCAAAGCCAGCGGAAAGTCGACGGAGGCAGCGACAGCGGCTTCGGCGCCGACAGCGACGTGGTCCCGCTTTCCCCCACGCCCTCGGAAATCCAATAAAGAACCCACAAAACCGCTCAGTTCGGACCCAGCGAGAGTTGCGCTGGCTTCGGGCTTGAGTGCTTTTCAGGCCGAATAACGAGTGGGAACGATTGACAGCGAGTGCGAATGAGTAACGAGCGAGATGAAGGGCACTTGCCGCACTGCTCCCTCCGACAGAGACGCACACACACACCACAGTGAGCACAATGTTAGTTAAAAAGTTGAAGAAAGCGCTCAAGGCGGATGGCATTACAGCTGCAGGCTGTTGGGATTTTGTGGCTCTGTCTTTATGTAACGGCAGTTGGCTTGCTGCCTTCCGCTCCGACTAATCATATATTTATCTGCTGCTACTTTTTGTCTATTACATAATTTAGTTCCCCTCGCTGCTCTCTCTGTCTCGCTCTCTTGTATCTCCGCCTTTTCGTCCCTCTCTTTCTCCCTCTCTTGACTTTTGACTTTGAAATCAGCAACCCAAAAAGCGTTGCCTACATCTGTGCGCCGGCGCCTGCGCCCGAGTGGGACACGGAGATACGATATCGATTCGCATTCCTGTCCGCACTCGTGCGTCTCTGTGATTTGGCCAAAAGAGCTGCCAGCGCTACTGATAAGGCTGCTCCCGTCTGTTAACGAGTTGTGGAAGAGCGTCATCATCAGTGCCACTATCGCAGCCTGCTTCTTCATGTTCCTCTTCTGGCCTTTGTTTGCTTGTCACTTTCATTTCGGTGTGTTTGCATATGTAGAGAGCGGGCGGGCAGAGTGGGGCAGCATCGGAAGTACACAGCTTGAAAGGAGGAAATTGCAAAGTTCTGGCCACGTCCGCTCATCCGCTCATCCGACTCATCCGTCTGCCCGACGCTCCGCGGTCAGCAATTTAGCCAGGACAAGTGCATCGATGGCGAGGGCTGGCCTCCTGCTTCTTGCGTCACAAAAGATAAGTCCTGAGTCGTCTAATTAGTAAGACACAAATCCGAGCGTTTCCATGCCAGCGGCAATGCCTAGCCGAGGCTTTATTATCCTCCTCCACAGCACAGCACAGCACAGTTCCCCTCTCAGTCAATTATAGTTCATTCGAGGTTCGCTAGACTTGGTCGGTGGCCTGTGGTCGGGGTATTACGGGTGGCCATGTCGCCATCTTCTCCCATCCGGAGCTGTCCGCGCTCTGCCTCTTATATACCAATCAATTATGTTCCCAGCCAGCAGCAGCAGCAGAAGCAGCAGCTCTCGCTGCGCGATTTAACTTTTTCGCCACAAATTGCTTATTACTTCTGGCTCCGTGGAGCTGGTGGCGGACGCGACGCTGCCTGCTTACGGATGGACGTCACGTTCCGGCCACCAGGGCATTGCTGTCGCTGGGGTAATAGTCCTCTCCAGCCTCTCCAGTGGGCGGAATGGAATGGCATAAAGCCTGAGAGCCTGATCTGGAAACTACACGGACGCGGCACGGAACCCGGAGTGCCTTTGATGGCACAGAGGAAGTGTGATTAGGCGATTTCATCCACTGGAAGCCTACCTACAACCGTCGAAGCACCGTAAAACTACAAATAATTTTCTGGGTTTTTTTTCTTGTCCCCACTTATGGCAATGCGCGTGGCACGGCAGCAGCACAGGCAGTCACACTGGACTGGAGAGCTCCACGCGACGTATACATACCGAAATTGTTGGCTCGGCCTTTTGCAGCGACAACGACAACGATGGCGATGGCGACGCTGTAGCTGTGGCGTTGCTCCTCCTAGCCGAAAACTACATAAACTGCCGAAAACCTACCGCGAAAATGCCAAGCTGTTAGCCAGTGTAAAGTTTGTGGCAATAACAGGCACGACGTCAAGCGACGAGAGGCAGAGAGGAGCCGCACACACACGGAGAGAGAGAGAGAGAGCGCGCGCGAGAACGAGAGTTTGTCAGTTTGACAGTCCCCAAACTAGAGGAAAGCTTCCTGCTGTTACTGCTGGCCAGAAAGCTCCCAGTCAAATGCGGCTAGGTAATAACAACTTTCCCTTTCTGCCTCTGTCGCTGCTGCTGAGTGCCTACATCTGTCCTGCCTGCCAGGACATAAGGATATCGCAGCACACATATGCTTAAATAGGCCTCACAGCCTAACAGAGTCCGATAAACAAATTGCTTTATGTGTGCGGATAGACTTGGCACAGGCACGGATCCGGAACCGGCGGCAGGTTAGCGTTCGCTAATTTCGAGCCGGGTGCGTGTGCCTCCTTGATGACGCTATTCCGCTTGTAAACTTTATGCACCAGCCGGAAGATGCCGAGTGTAAACGGGGGCGCTGATAACACAGCCTGTCCTGTCACCTGCCTCCTTGTGGCATCCAGGGGGAGTCCCTGCTCCTGCTCTCCTGAGGATGTGTGCGTGCGCGGGGCTTATGAACATCTATATGAATTATTTAATTAAGCCATACAAGTCATCGTGCGGTGCCGGATCCATTATTTTGATTAAATCAAACCCATTTCGCTTTATGCCACCTGTTTGGCTGTTCCGCCTCCACGCAGTCCCAGCTTCCCAGCCCGAATTCCCAGCATCATTCCTGTCAAGCCAGCCACCAAGACATCGTCATCGTCATCGTCTATTGGCTTTGGCATGATTATTTTTGCACTGCATCACCCCATTCGCTCCCCGTTTCAAACAACACAGTTTCAACAGGCGATGGCACGCAAATTGGGCACATTTGGCGCATGGCAGCCGTTTTCAGCTTATTTGGACTCTAATGACTGCTGGGAAGACCTGTTCGCCTGGAGATTTTCCCAGCGCCATAAGCAGGAGTGTGTCGCTGCTTTGTGCGATGTGCCCAGGAAAAAAAGGAAAAATATGGAGATGCCCTTGGGGCCAATTGGACGAAAATTGATAGAATGTTACAATCCAGTGACTATGAACAATGTCCATAATCTTCACCTGAATGACGAGAGCTTACATCTTTGCGGTGTCGAGCTGTTCTTATGGAAACGATGATTCCATATTCTTAGCTACGGTTTCGCCAAGTTCAGTTTATGCTTCTCATAAAGATACTTTAAAAAGGCATTCTCATGGGATGAAGATGAGATTAGTTAAGAACTTTTCGAGCGTTAGGGGTCAGTTACTTAATTTTTAATAGTAGTTATCACTAATAACTTATTATTATATTATTATTATTAGTAATAAGGCATGAAGTAAGTTGACTTAACTTTTAAAGTAGAAATACTTAAAAACTGATTTTTGGAAATTAACAGCGGATTAGAAAAGTGAATGTTTTGTCTAAACCGGTCACTAAATGGTTAAACCTAGTTAGAAGCCCTAGAAAGTTAGGCTTTTAAAAAATAAAAAAATAAATTTCAATATATTTTACTAAAAAAACGACTATTACTTAGAACATTTTAAACTTAAGTCTGTGAAAAATTTGTTTTTAAAAACATAATTGTAGTTAATGGATATTTCCGGTGTATGTCTGAAAAGGATCATTAAGGCTAAAAAATATTGTAGTATAGTAATCACATATTTTCAGAAATAAAGTTAATTAATTAAAGTACCAAAACATGTATGTAGGTTGTTGAAAATTCATACTCGATGTAATTCCGAAAGTAATTCCACTTGAATGATAAATAAGAAAAATCCTTTTATACAGATTTTATGAATGTAATCGTTAAAATTCGCATTACAGCCGCTCTTATATTTTTTTACAATTGGTTAACACATTGATGATTGGTAGACGTTTTCTTTAAACTGATTAATAAAGTTCACCTTACTTGCGATTGAAAAATACATCTAAACTGATTAAATAAAGGCAACAGACTGGTTGGATTTCAACTTTGTTTCATGGTAAGAACTCTCGGTTCTTAATTTAAACTGAAAGTTAAACATTTCTGCTTTGAGAAATCATTAATTAAACGTCTCGTCCTTGAGTACCCACAGTGGTCTTTAAAGCTGAGAGCATCCAATTGAAGCGATTTGAAGGGCACACCACAAAATGAAGTTAATAAGCCCCCTGTCACAAAATAATGATTTTGAATTCATTCCCGCCGTCCAATGCAGCTTTCATTGGAGCTGAAGCTGGAGCTGGAGCTGGGGCCGGAGCCATGCCCACTCCAACTCTGCTCTTGCGGTCGTTTTCAATCAATGAGGATTCAACAGCAGCCGCCGCAAAGATGACAACTGAACTTCTCTTCACTTCAGCCACAGACAATGTCATTTTGGGGCCCGGCAAAAGCACAAGCCCGCACAAGCTGCAGGCGGGGTTAGAGCGAGTGTAAGCCGAGAAGATTGGGTGGCATGGGTGAGGGGGCGGGCGTGGTCGTGGGCGTGGGGCTGTATGACTGGCAGAGTGGCTTAATTTAAAACGGTTTCATGTTGTGATTTTGACAAATGATAATTTTTTGCATGTGTCTGTGTCAGTCTTTGTGTTTGACATGTTAGTCGGGACTCTCGTATCTCTGGCGCCCGTTGCCCGGGCCTCTTTGGCGGTCAATGAGTTGGCACAATGTGCCGGGCAGATAAATGCCGGAGCTCACCCCAAAATTTCACGGAATCATCACCACCGCGTGCCACTAAGCCCTACTGTGTTAAGGGTTCATTAAGTAAGCTGCCTTGCACACACAACTACTTCTATTCTCATTCCTACTCCCACTCCCACACCCACTTCCAAATGCTCTCGAAGCCCGCACGGAGTCACAGTTT